ACAGGCTGAGCCACCGAGCCCAGCTCGCTCCTCCTTTCAACAGAAACTAAACCAAGGTCTTTATCTGACTGTGGTGGGGGCAGGGGCCAGGCCACCAGGCACCTGTCCCTGTCCCCCCAGGGCCTGAGGCTGACACACAGCACCAGACACTGAAGACTGGAAAAGAAACAGACGCACAAAAACCAGCATGTGTGAAGAACCACCATGAGAGGCAGAGCCCATGCTTGTGGAAAAGCCAGGCGTGCAGGCACAGCCAGCGGGACCTTGGGGCCAGAAGAGCCAAGGGGCTGAGTGGCCAGCAGGGCCAGGGACCGAGGGGCTGCAGGGCCAGGGGCTGAGGGCCAGGGACTAAGGGCCAGGGACTAAAGGACTTCAGTGCCTGTAACAGGGATGGGACCAGGCAGCCAGCCCCCCCACACCCCTCCTTCAGAAGGTACAGGACTCCAGGTAGACAAACAGAACTGAGTTCCCATCTGAGAAAGATTGTGGCCAGAAGACGGGACACTCCAGAAACAGAGACCACCCACAGAGGACAGCAACTGGCCACAGCAGACGGGGGATGATAAATGCTCGGGGAAACCCCACCCAGAATTCTCTCCCGGGCAAAGTTATCACTTAGGAATGAAGTAAGCCAGCCCAAACTGGGGAAGCCCATCAAAAATAGGCTTCCAAAAAAAAAAAACCACATTAAGTGGAAGGAAAACGGAGCCTGTAGGGAGGACAGAAATACAAGAGATGGGAAGCAAAGGCTCTGACTGGATAAAGCAGGCAGGAGGCGGTCCGATATTTGGAGTGGAAAAGCAAAACACAACGACATGTTACAGGCCCCAGGTGGGAAAGGACAGTCCCATGCCACTCAGGGAACAGACACTGTACAGCTATCTATCAAGTGGGCATGTTAAAATATTAAGGACAGCCTCTAAGAGAATACTGACAAATGTATAATTTCCAATCCAAACTTCGAGGGAAAAGGAAGGAAGATTCTTCAACCAATTGAAAAGAAGGCAGGGAAGGAGAAAAACAAAGGTGAGGGGAGGAAAAAAAAAGGGAAAACAGAAAGCAAAAAAGAAAGGAAAAATAAGTCCATAATCACTCAAAGTAGATGGACTAAATTCAAAAGGCTAGAATGAGAATGACAGAGAAAATAATAAAATACAGTTCTATTTATGAAACAGAAACATACCAAAATATAAGGACAAGAAAAGTTGAAAGTAAGAAAAAGATGCACCAGGCAAATATTAGCTGAAAAATAAGTAGCGTACTTACATCAGTTGATACAGATTGTGTGGCAAAAGGCATTCTACAGAAAAAGAGGGTCACCATCCAAGAATAAGAAAAAACTGAAATTTTCCAGGGAGCATTCCAAACCTGCATGTAACTAAACACAGGGCTCCGAAAATCTATGCTGGAAAGCCACAGAATTATCAAGAGAAATCAGTGACGCGATGCTCAGACTGGGGCATTCACCAGCTCTTTCACTAATAGAATAAGCAGGCTCCAAATAAAAGATTCGAAGGGGCACAAAAGTCTTCAACATAGTCAACGACAGAGAACAACGGCATACTCTATGCTCAGGCCAGGGCACTTCAAGAGTGGACGGGGACGCAGAAGGCTCAAGAATTCCTCGGGACAGCGGTATCGGCCAGGACACTGTGACATCACACTCTGACCCCCACACATGAAAGAACAATGGCACCTTTCAGGATAAGGTAAGTGGCCACCAAGGATACTAACAGGCAAACTGAGAGACCTAGTCTGCAGCCGAGGCTCACGCCCACAAGTACAGGCCACCCAGCTGCATCTTAGTCGTCCTGGAATAGGGCTGTGATTCAGTCCAGCCCCACCCCCAATAACACCAGAAGGAAAAGGAAAGCTTTTCTTACTGAATAGGACTTTAGGATCCGAGCAGGAAACATCACTTCATCCAAAATGCTGGTGCTGTCAGAGATGGAACCCTGAGGAGACAGAACGCTGTCCTGCTGCAGTGTGTGGGACACGGTGGCCTGCCCGTGTGAAATGCTGCCAGTAGGTCTTCAGGCTCAAGGAAATGTTCACACACAGGCACTGTTCCTGTGTGTGAAAACGTGTTCCCCGCCATCCAGGCTGACAGGGCATCTTTAGCAGTCGTGGCCTCTCCCTGGGATGCCACGGGGTGGGGCACTGAGGGGATCAGCTGAGGGAGAGGGGCAGTATGTTGCCTCTGTCTCCATAGGTTCCAACGCCCACCTGCCCCTGGCTCCCATGGCCATGGCCTGGGTTTCCAAGATGCAGGAGACCTGGGGCTGCATGGGGACGCCCTCCTGCAGTCCCGGCCATCCTCAGAGAGCGAAACCAGGTCCTTGCCCCTCTGTGGGTGCAGGACCCACTCGCCCCGGTGCCACCTCCACATGCTCCACCCCACTGAGTCAGAAGCTGCTCCCACCTTCTTCTTCTTGCAGTAGTCCTCGCTGGACCGCGCAGAGATGATCACGGTGGCTGCCATGAGCAGCTCCAGCAAGAGGAGCAGGATGAGGTTGAAGTTGATCTGCCGGGAGAACATGCTTCAGGGCCCGCCCATCCCGCGAGCCCTTCGGCGTCCATGGGGAATCTCGCAGGCGGGCCTGCTCGGGGCTCTAGAGCTGGGTTGGCCCACTTTTCCAGCAAAGGCCAGGTGTCAGGTGTGGAGGGCCACACACCGTCTCTGTCTCACCTGAGTCTTTTGGGGACTTTGGGCTTTGAAAACCATTCTTAGCTCAAAGGCTGTACAAAAACAGTTGTGGGCCGGATTTGGCCCCTGGGATGTGGTCCACAGACCCTGACCTAAACCCTCCTTGTTCCCACAGAGGCCTGTACACAGGTGTTTACGGCAGCTCAATGCATAATCGCCAGAGACTGACCACAAGAGGTTTTTGGAGCCTGACTGTGCTGACAGTTACAAGAATCTACACATGCTGACATTCATGGAACCACACGTTTAACAAGTACACTTATCTGTGTGCTAGTATTAAAAAGAAAGAATGTAGAGCCATACAAAAGTCTTAGGATACAACAGAACCACAGGAAGAAATCAATAAACCAGCAATTATGGTGAAGAATTTAACACTCCTACTCAGAAGTGAACAGGGCGAAAAACAAAAACACAAGACGAAAGCTAAAATTTGGGAAAACGCCACATGAGCCGTGCCTTGTACTCTGTGTTCCCAGGCCCAGACCTCAGCCCTGCTGGCCCTGGAGAGACAGCCCCTCCTGGCCGCAGTTCCTCGGTGAAGGCCAGCGCCCACCCCCCCTGCTCTCTGGGCTTCTGCTCCCTGACTGTCCCTGCCCATGTCACCTGGGACCAGGCCCTAGGACTGCCCTGCACAGGCTTCCAGAGGTGCCCACATGGCCTCTGAGCCTCGCCCTGGAACCCCAGTAAAGGCTCTGCCCACGGCCCTGTTGAGCCCTCTGCCTGGAGTGGCATGGTGCCTCCTAGCAGCTTGCATGGTGGGGCTCCTTCTTGTGGGGCCTGAGGCACTCACCGCCTTCTCCATGGTGGTCATCCCGACCTGTGGCCTCACCACACCCAACAGTAGCAAAACCTCCATTTGAGACACATGCCATTAGCAAGTCTGATCTACAGAACTCTCTGTGCAAAATGAAACAGCGAATGTCTGTTCTTTTATAGCTTTTGTGGAACATTAACCGAACTGACCACCTCTTAGGCCACAAACAAGCCTTGGTAAATTCCAAAGAATCAGTACCCTATAGATTGTGTATTCTGATCATAGTGTAATCATATTAGAAATCAATAATAAATGAATGATTCTGAAAATAACCCCACGTCTGTTTCATCAGGTCCCTGGTGGAGAACCAAAGGAACGGCTGGAGGAGCATGTGTGAGAGGTGATGCCCAGCATGTGCCTGGGATGAAAAGGGGCCTCGGGACAGGATCGTGGGGCAGCTCCCAGGGCCAGAGGAAGGGCACGTCAAGGTCCAGCAAGCTGTGGCTATGGGCAGATGGCCTGCCCAGGGAGGAGGCGGTGGTCTTGCTGGATGGCAGTGGCCATCCCAGTGGGGGGCAGGGAAGCCATTCCCCAGCTCGCCAATGTCCTGTCTTTACCCCGTGTGGCCGTGGAGGCCAGCCGGCAAGGGTGCTGGCGGATGGCCCACCTCTAGGTACAGGCAGGGAGCAGCAAGTGGAAGGCGGGCCTGGAGGGGCAAGAAGGGACATTTCCAAACACTTAGAACTAAGTGACAAGGAAATGCCACATGTCAAGAGCTCCAGAGCTAAGCCAGCACTGAAAGGAGGCACGCGTCCAGAAACACCAACAGGGATGGAGACAGGGAGGCTCAGTGCTCTCCTCACAGTTGCAAAACGAGTAAACAGTAACCCAAAGACACAGGAAGGAAAGAGACAGCAGAAACCAAGAAGGCAACAAAAGCAAAGTGGCTCACTGAAAAGATGAATACGATAGACATGATAAAGACACAACCAATATTGTGAATGAAAAGAGAAATAACTATAGATGGTAAAAACTAAAAACAGTGAGGAATGCTGTGAACAACAATATGCCAGCCAATGTGAATGATATGGTTACATTTTTTTTTTTTTTTTGAGTAGGAATCTCACTCCGTCACCCAGGCTGGAGTGCAGTGGCACACTCACAGCCACCCCATCGTCAACCTGCTGGGCTCCGATGATCCTTCCACCTCAGCCTTCCAAGTAGCTGGAACTACAGGCATACACTATCACGCCCAGCTAATTTTTATTTATTTTAGTAATGAGGGCTCACCAAGTTGCCCAGGCTGGTTTTGAACCTGCGGGGCTCAGGCAATCCACTTAACTCACCCTCTCAAAGTGCTGGGATGACAGGCTGAGCACCAAGCACTGCCAGTTACATTTTTTATAAAAACATAAAAGGCAAAATTTGACACAATAGGAAATTTTAGTAATAATGAAAGCCCACTCCCTCACCAAAACCCCTAGATGAAGATAATTTTGCAGATGAGTTCTGTCAAACTTCCCAGAAACAGCCAATTCTTTTTTTTTTTTGAGTTGGAGTCTCACTCTGTCGCCCAGACTGGAGTGCAGT